GAATTTCAACGGGCTGTTCTTCTCTCAAAAGGCCTTTAAAAGCTCCCCCACTCCCCTCGAAGACGTGGGTGGAAAATAAGGGAGAGGAGAGTAGGAGGGAGCCCCTAGGCGGTTCTCGCCCACAGACGCTACCTCTGTAGGAGTGTGTGGGCGGAGAGGCCCCAGAGCTGAACAATTGAGGCGCCCCTCCCTGCCCCCCCCCAAGTTGAAAGGACTGGCCTGAACAAGTAGGGGCGACCAAGCCAGGGGAGAGGCCAATGAAGGTCGCTGGGCAGCCTGGAAGTAAGAGTCCTGGAGAGAGAACAAGGGTGCGTTAAGAAAGCCACCAGTGGGAAAGCAAAGAGAAGCAGGGGTCCACCTCGCTGAGAAGTTGAAGGGGTCACACCCCTCCCGTTCAACCCCCCAAAGCCCACTGCAGATAGAAGGGGGTCTTAGATTTACTTTAGTTTGGGATTGGATATCAAGTGGTGTTGAGACTGCTAAATTGTTTAGGGTTGGGCGTAAGGACAGTATTTTGGGGGATAAAGGGGCAGTCATCTGAGAGATGTGCTGGGGGAGCCTGTGTTACAGGTATTCGTGCTTCAGACAAGAAAGGTCAAAACAGAAGACAAGAATAAGTCTTTTACTGCTTCTGGCCAGTTTCTAGAGGGTCCTGGTGTGTTTGTCTCCAAGCAGTGTCTGATTCTCTTGGCTTATGCTTAGCCCTGGGCACGGGGCAGAAAGCATTGAAAGAAGGGAGGAGATGAGAAGGTGGCTGGAAAGAGAGGACAATTGTTAGTGTGGGCTGGTACTCAGCAGGGGCTCTTGCCCTGACTGTCCCTTGTGCCCCTCCTCCTCAGGTCCAGTGCCCGAGCCATGGCACTGCCTCGGACACTGGGGGAGCTGCAGCTGTATCGGGTCCTGCAGCGTGCCAACCTCCTCTCCTACTACGAGACCTTCATCCAGCAAGGAGGTGACGACGTGCAGCAGCTTTGTGAGGCTGGTGAGGAGGAGTTCCTGGAGATCATGGCGCTCGTAGGCATGGCCACAAAGCCCCTCCATGTCCGACGCCTGCAAAAGGCATTGAGAGAATGGGCTACCAACCCAGGGCTTTTTAGCCAACCAGTGCCTGCTGTCCCTGTGTCCAGCATTCCGCTCTTCAAGATCTCTGAGACTGCGGGTACCCGGAAAGGGAGTGTGAGCAATGGGCATGGAAGCCCAGGGGAAAAGGCGGGCAGTGCCCGTAGTTTCAGCCCCAAAAGTCCCCTTGAACTTGGAGAGAAGCTATCACCACTACCTGGGGGACCTGGGGCAGGAGACCCCCGGATCTGGCCAGGCCGGAGCACTCCAGAGTCGGACATTGGGGCGGGAGGAGAAGAGGAAGCTGGTTCACCCCCTTTCTCCCCACCTGCAGGGGGAGCAGTCCCCGAGGGGACTGGGGCAGGGGGAGTGGCAGCAGGTGGAGCTGGGGGTGGTCCAGACCGCCTGGAGCCAGAGATGGTCCGCATGGTGGTGGAGAGTGTGGAGAGGATCTTCCGAAGCTTTCCAAGGGGTGATGCTGGTGAGGTCACATCTCTGTTGAAGCTGAATAAGAAGCTCGCTCGCAGCGTGGGGCACATCTTTGAGATGGATGACAATGATAGTCAGAAGGAAGAGGAGATCCGCAAGTACAGCATCATCTATGGCCGCTTTGACTCCAAAAGGCGAGAGGGCAAGCAGCTGAGCCTGCATGAGGTGAGGACCCGGTCCTCTTAGAACTGCTGTTGACTCCCAGGCTTCAGTACCCTCACCCCTGAGAATTCCTGTGTCCCTCCATGTTTTGTTATCCTTTGATAAGATCACTAAGTCTGACCCCCCACTCCTGCCTCAGACCCAGCTGCTATAGTGCCTCCATCCCCAATTGAGGAGAAAGTAGAGATAACGCAAGAGCCCAGCTGTTCAGCTCTGTGTCAGTAAGGACCCCACAGGAGTGGAGGAGGCCGGGGGCTGACCTCTGTCTTCCTCCTGAAAGCTCCTATGTATTGTCCAAGCAGAGCAGGCCTCCTATGAACCACCTCCTTTGATGGTGAAGGTGTGAAGAGGTCTGGATAAGGCAGTGGAGGAGTAAGGTCTCTTATCTGTCCCCGCCCCACAGCTGACCATCAATGAAGCTGCTGCTCAGTTCTGCATGAGGGACAACACACTCTTACTTCGGAGGGTGGAGCTCTTTTCCCTATCACGTCAAGTGGCTCGAGAAAGCACCTACTTGTCTTCCCTGAAGGGCTCCAGGTGAGACCCCTGTCCCTAGGTCTTTCCTACCTTGGAATCTGGCCAGGGATTTGGATCTTGTCCTAACTTCCAGCTCAGGCAGTTCTAGGCTTGTTTCCCACCCACCTGCATGTTTTGCTTTTGGCCAAGTGGACTTGTCTGAGGCCTGGTCCCTCTTCCCATCCACCTCAGGTCCTCCCAACCCCCCAGTAAAGTAACTGGAATGGAGACCCCTAACTCTCTACGTAGCCTTTTTAAGCCATACACGTTACTGTACACAGTCTGTTCCCTGACCATTATGTGAACCTCCCCAGGCTCATTCTGATCTTTCTCCATCTTCACAGGCTCCACTCAGAAGAATTAGGAGGCCCCCCACTTAAGAAGCTGAAACAAGAGGTATATTTTCCAGGGGTGGGATACCCTGCCCTAATCCCCTCCCTTGTCAGGTCCTCATTTCCCCATTCTGGGCATCCACAGGTCGGAGAACAGAGTCACTCTGAAATCCAGCAGCCTCCTCCAGGCCCTGAGTTGTATGCAGCTTCTTACCGCCCCAGCCTGGAGGAGGACAGTGCCAGTCTTTCTGGGGAGAGTCTAGATGGACACTTGCAGGGTGAGTATGTATTAGAGCACTCCCCTCTTTGTTGTGGGGAGGTGGGGGTGGACACGTGGGTGGGTGGGAGGAGCAAACCAGGAATCACTGCCTGGAATAGGTCTGGGAGGCCTGAATGGATGGGAGCAGAAGGACCAATGGGTCTGGCTGTGCGGTTGAGGGTGGGGTTCTGTTGGCTGCAGCCCCTTACCTGACCAGTGCCCATGCCCACAGCTGTGGGGTCATGCCCAAGGCTGACGCCGCCCCCTGCTGACCTGCCCTTGGCATTGCCAGCTCATGGGCTATGGAGCCGCCACATCCTGCAGCAGACACTGATGGACGAGGGGCTGCGGCTCGCCCGCCTCGTCTCCCATGACCGCGTGGGCCGCCTCAGCCCCTGTGTGCCTGCGAAGCCACCTCTCGCAGGTGAGGCAGCCAGAAGTGCTGTCCCCAAGCACTCCAGCCACCCAGGCCCCAAACAGCAGTCCCGGTGTGCAGGGACCAGGGTGGGAGGAGGATACAGCTGCCAGAGAGCACAGTAGGAGGAGCTCCACCTAGCCAATCTTTGGGTGGAGAGGACCCTGCTGGGCCATTCTGCCTGGGCAGGGTCTGGCTCTGGTAGACTCTGAAGAGGAAGCTGAGAGTAGCAAGGGGACAGAAAAGGGGGAATGAAGGTGAGTGGGAAGAAAGGTCATGTCCCATAAGGGAAGCTTGACCAGAACTCCACTAATATGGGAGGGTCAAGTGGTCTGGTTGTGGTAGGGTTGGGATTGCCCTGTGGAGCCCAAAGAGCGATGCTTTGTGTGTGGAGGGTGGGTGGGGGAATGGCTAGCAGAGGGCAGGCAGCGGCTGGGCTGAGAGTGACGCAGCAGACAAAGCCACCAACCCTGGCTTGGTATTTTTAAACTGTGTGTGGGTGGGATGTGGGGGTGGGGACTGGAAGGGGGGCTCTTTTTGAGGGAGGAGCTCAGAGGCTGGCTTCCTGTGTTCCCCCTGATTTGGCTATCAAAAAAGGGGGCAGTGGCAGGGTGGGTGGGGCCTGGGAGGGGGGCAGAGATGAGTGGGGGTGGAGGAGACTAGGAGGGGGGAGGGGGAGAGGTCAGAGCCAAGCCACCCCCGCAGCTCCTGACAGAACCAGAAATTCCAGCAGAGCAGAGGCGGTAAAGACAGAGAAAGAGGGACATACAGAGACAGAGAACTACACAAGGCCAGAAGGGGGGAGGGCCTGCACTCACTTGAGTATGGGACGATCCCCCCCCATGTACACTTGCAGTGGGCAGAAGATAGTAGTTCAATCAAGTGAGCTTGTCTTCACAGCTTTCTCTGCCTCTTCCTGCATTACCAGCTACCTGTCCACAGTCTCCACTCACCATCTCCTAACTATGCCTTTTTCCTGCAGAGTTCGAGGAAGGACTGCTGGATCGGTGCCCAGCCCCAGGACCCCATCCTGCACTGGTGGAGGGTCGCAGAAGCAGCGTCAAAGTGGAGGCTGAGGCCAGCAGGCAGTGAGGGTGGACTGTTGCTTTCAGACCCAGGAAGCAGACTTGTGGCTCGCACAGATGCCCCACTCCATCCTCAGAATCTCGTCACCACCCTGATCCTTCTGCTGCCCTTCTCCTGCATCCCCACCTGCTCCATGGGCACAGGACTATGGGGCTTCAAGCAATAATGAGCAGGGGCCCAGCAAGAGGACACAAGAAGGGTGCGTGGTGCCCCCTCACCCCCGCCCAGAACAAGGGACAAGGACTCTGCCTCTGGGCAGCTGGGGCTCCCCTCCCTCACACAACCCACTCCCATTCTCTCTAGGTGGCCACCAGTGATGTGAGCAGTCAGACTCAGTTTGGACATGGGGGCAGGGGGACTTCCCGGGGAAGGTCCAGCAGCTACAAATGGCAACATTTCTCCCCTGAACTGGGGACCTGCGAACACTGGACCTTTCCTCCTCTCCCTGTCCGCGTTTTTGTGCTTCTAGTTTGTTTCTTTAATTTAATGAGTGCTGCAGTTTGCCCACATATCCCCCTTTCTGCCCCAAGTCCTCAGCAGTTTTTTTCCTCCTGCCCTCTGGGGGAGGTGGATAGGGGGTCCCTTGCCAGCCCTTGAGAGGCCTGGGTTAGACTCAGGGTCTCCCCAGGTGGGACCGGACCACAGCACCTGTCCGATCACTTAGAGCATCTTTCTTTTCAGATTGTGTACAGTAGATTATTTATTTTGTTATTTTGGAATAAAATTTATTTTATGGCTTAGGATCCATGATCCCCCACCAAGAGGGAAAATGGGTGGCTTGGGGGGGGGGGAAGCCGGCAGTGGATGGGGAGCCATGAGGGAAACAGTGGGCAGAGACCCTAACACCTAGGGGCCATGTGGAAGCCTGGGTGTCATTTTTGTCCCCTGGCTGTGGGCGGCATTGGGGGTATGGAGCCACCGAAACCATAGTCATGTCGATGACATTGCTGTGCAGATACACCTGTGTACAGTCACATTCAAAACATCTGGGTTACTATGTCAGAGGCTACCATACTGGGTATGTATCATGCAGTGTCTCAGTCCCACATCCAAATGTGTGTTGTCACACATGTGAAAGCAGACACGTTCTATAGTCATAAAACGTCACCTGAACATGTCAGGTCTGAGAATACACATGTTCACACAGCTACACACAACAAAGCGTGGCCCTTGAACTGAATATTGTGGGCTGTGTACCCAGGCTCCATCTGACAAGAATCTGAGCCTTGAGGGGGATTAACATTTTGCTAATCTGAGCAAAATTCCTAGCAATAACCACATGCCCAGACTTCTCACAGAGGCTCCCGTACACCACTCCTCTGTGCCCCCAGAGCTGGCATCCAGGTCCTCACTCTCTTGTCCCTGGTTTGTAGTGCAAATGTGTGCACATGTCTGCATATATGCCCAGGCTCTGAGTGAGTGAAGAAGTCCTCCATGCCCTAACCTGCTCTCTTGCAGCCTCCGTGGAGAGCAGTGTGTGTGCTGCGGGAGCACGCATGGTAGGGCCTGTTTCATTTTTGAGCTTGGACTTCTTCCAGTGGTGTAAGAGGGGACAGTGCTGTGTGGTAGGAAGGAAGGAAGGCGAATGGCTTTCCCCATCATATATTCCCCTGGCGAAGTATTTTCCTCCTGGAGCAGCTGGAGATGGCAGGCACCTCTGGGAGCAGATACCTGGAGCAGATCCATGGAGACAGGAGAGCTGTCCCTGGGCTTGCCTTCCAGCTGGAATCACCAACTGGGGTTGGCTCTTAGGTCCAGATGGGACATAGAGATCCCGGACTGCCCATAGGAGGAGGGCTGCAGGAGTGGCTGGGCTCCCAAGGACCCCCCTGCAGCTTCCCCTTGGCCTTCTAGGAGAAGCTTGGTGAGGTCTTGTTCCGTGGGAGGCAGTAGGGCAGGGAACATGTCTTCATCCACCCTACAAGAAGAAAACAGAGAAGCAGCGAAATGGATAAGAGCACCCACTCCCTCCGCCGCCAGCCAGATCTCCACCCCAAGGCCACCACTCACCAGGTGCCCTGGTGGTATCTTCCCACTGGCTGGTTTAGGCAGCTGTCTTCATCCATGGTCATGTCTACAGCATGCTCCTGAGGCTGGCGCGGCAGCAGGCCCCTGGCAGTGACCACAAAAGAAAATGGAGGGGGTTGAGGCCAGGAAAGAACGGAAAGCAGGGGATTCAGAGGTGCTTTTCCACTCACTGGGGGTGAGGCTGGTCAAAAGGCACGCTTATCTGGCTGAGACGAGGGGGCATCTGCAGGTGAGGGCTGGAAGCAAGAGGAGAAACAATCAGAGGAATGAAGCCTGGGCAAAGCCATGGTGCCACAGTTGTCCCCTGAGAGGGAGTGGGCTGCAGCGCTCCATCCTAACTTCACTGCTCTTGGAGTGCATAACCCTGGGCAGGCCATTCTGTGCTTGGAGCACAATCTTTTTACCCTTAAAACAAGGGTGTAAGGGGTTAGCCTAATTCTGTTTCACTGGACTCTGAGCTTTGATGTCTGTAATACCTCCCATCTTCACCTCTACCTCAGCTGCTGGGAAAGCAGATGCTGCATCCTCCCCCCCCCCCCAACCAGGGATTGAACTGAGGCAGGATTGAACTCAGGCCCCTGCACTTGCCAGGCAACCAGGGATTGAACTGAGGCGGGATTGAACTCAGGCCCTTGCACTTGCCAGGCAAGCGCTTATTCTACTGAGCCATTGCCAGGCCCCAATGCTGCATCCTCACTAAGAGTTTATAAGCAGTAAGTGTAACCTAAGGAAGAAAAATGTCTAGGCCAAAATAGATGAACACATAAAAATCAACTCAGAAGCTCGAAGTGCCCATGGTTGTCATCATGTACAAGTCCCTGGACTTATTTATTTTGGGCGGGACCGGGGATTGAACTCAGGCCCTTGTGCTTGCCAGACAAGTGCTTATTCTACTGAGCTATCTCCCTGGCCCTGAATTTAATTCTCAGAACAGCAATAAAAAAAGTAAATAAATGACACAGCAGATAAGTAACAGTGAACTTCAAGGTTAGGACAGAAAATATTAGTATAGCTCTTACTACAAGACAGGCACAGCGCTCAGCTGTAGACATGACTTTTTTTTTTTTTTTTTTTTTTT